CACCCTAAAAGAACACATAGCATAAGTGATTATATACATACATTTTTGGTAGTTACAATATATACTTAGGATTACAGTGTGCTTTATTGAAAGCTTCCAGTTTTTTTAAATCAGATCACAGGGAAATCAAAAGATACTTTTTACTAGGTCACTAAATATAGCAGTGCAACCAACATATTGGCTTATGTACACAGATGTGGATAAGACAAACTAAATTATCTCTTCTATCTCCAACACTCAAGAAATTGCATAATCATAATTTCTTGGAAATGTCTCTGAGGCTAACACTGCCAAGTAAAATCAAATAAAGCTGAACTAAAAGCTGTCCACTTAAAAAAGCCTTGATAAGAAACAAGTCACAGATGAATCCTCGAGCTTATTTGTATAGCCTCCACCTGAAAGAAGTGTGTAATTATTAGAGTGAATGTTGATTTAGGAATTCACATCAAATACTAAAGAGTGATACTTTAAAAAATAGCTTCTCAAAGCACCTTCCTCTTCAGGAATATACACTTCCTCCATCTATTATAACATGTATTATAACAAATGATACAGTATCATTTGTTATAATACATGTTATAGTAAACCAAGCTCTTGGTTTACTATATTCCAGGAAAGGGCCTAAAATACATGTGCAAATTATCTGTTGAGTATTTGTTGAAAAAAATAATAGAAAATGTTGCATTTAAAATATCCCTGGAATTAGATACATCGAAGAATTTTTTTTGAAATAAATTTGCCTTAAGAAATGCTCCAGGAGAGATTTGTGAATGCCATTAAATATGATGCTTTAAAATATATTTTTTGGTAATGGAGAAGGAAACATCAAATTTACATTACTGTTTTGCAATATTTATAAAATTATCATAAATTATTCTATTGAGATTAGAAAATTTAACCCATTTTACCACTGTCTGATTACCATATCATTTATAAATCTTAATAGAGTTAAATTTCCATATAATAACTCTGGTTAACTGATTCTTAGATAATCAACTTACTTCTAAAGACATATAGTACTTGGTTAGGCATTTGCAAGTGTGTTGTCCACAAAAGAGACTTCATATTTTTAGCTGTAGATATTAATTTAAAAAGTACTAAAAAGAGAAAAAGAGTGAATGAGGGGGAGAGAGACTGAAAGAAAGGAAGGAAGGAAACAGTGGTTTTAATTACATTATTAAGGACTACAGTTGCTTCTAAAGTAATTGTGTATCCTTCCACCAGAGGGCAACATTTGCAAGTCGTTTAAAAGATCTCTCAGAAGTATTTCCTCATAGGTGGATATAAACTAATGCAAACCTATCACATTGTTATTGGGTAATATCTTCTATAAATTTCAAAGAATACTATAGAGACAATTATTGAAATGATTGCATATAAAACTCGATATCTACTTATAGTAAAACAGGCAATAATTTATTCTTTGAATATGTAAGAAGATTCAACTCAGGAAGAAGCACACTTCTCTCATGTTACTGGCATTTTCCTCTGTTCATTATCAACCATTCACCTCAAATACAATAGAGAAATCTCATGGTGGGACAAGCAAAGAAAACGTAGCTTTGAATCAATGAATAAATTAAAGAAAAAGTCATAAAATTTTACAAGTAGAAGGGGTAACAAACCACTTACTCTAACCCATCATCTGCACAAGTAAGGAACTGAAGTTCATTAAAGTGAGATGATTGCTTAAAAGTTAGAAGGGTGATAACCAACAGAATCAGGATCCAAACCCACGTCAGCCAATTTCACCTTTTATACTGTAATGTCGTCTAGATTTGAAGTGTGACCCGTGAACAAATGGTACCGGAAACTTGTTAAAATTGTTGAGTCTTAGGCTCCACTCCGGATCTATTGAATCAGAATCTGTGTTTTAACCAAGATCTTAAATTGTGACAAACTACTCTACCTCATGTCTTCAGGCAACTCATTAAAGCTAATTTTTCTCCTCAATAAAATGGGAATGAAATTAGTTTAGTCTGAAGAATAATTATAAGGAATAAATGTGATCATGTAAATGAAAGTCATTCATAATTTCTAGTAAGTTACACACATTAAATAAATTCAATGAAACCTCCTTTTATTTTTAAGAGTGCTTGGGTAGAGGGGTCAATTCTTCTATAGGAAGACTTGTCTAATAAATCAATTTAAGACTGTTAAAATTGGATGGAAAATGGTGTAAGGGGTAAGGGAGGTAAGTGAGTAAGGGAGTAATCTCACCAGATTAATACCATATGTGTAACCACTAATGTTTCTTTGCATAAAGATAAATCTGATCATGATTGATCTTAAGGTTGATCTTAAGGTCACAAACATACATGTTCAGTGTTTGAATTTGAGGATCACACATGAAGAAAATATGTTGGTTATGTTCATAGTGCCGGGGTATATGTCTCTTATATTGGGAACTATTAATTTAAGAAAAGCCTAAATGGCATTCTTTGGTCTCAGGTGGCCTAGTAACAATTCTTGTAATTTTCCATATACAATATTTTTCCTTTGTTTATGACTTTGCTCAAGATGTCCCCTTTGGCTGGGATGCTCTCCAATCTTAGCCAGTTCCACTGGGCTGTCATCACCTTTGTAGAGCTAAGTTTTTCTTCAAGTATTAAGACAGATGAGGAAACATCATTTCTGGGGATCTTTTCTGTATACTTTAACTTCCAGGCGGGCTTTTTTACTTATTTACTTGTCCAATTGCATCCATAATTGTTTGTAATTGTATTTCTGTGTCTATTTCCCATAGCTTGTGAAATCTTTCAGGGAATATTCCCAGAACCTAGTGCAATTCTTGGCACTAAATGAGTATTTTTAGAATGAATAAATCAATATTAGCAATAATTCTGATTCAAGCACTTGCCCTGTTATCGAGAGAATGGAGGAGCCAGATGACATTCATTTCAATGAAGGTGAATGTAATTATTTTACTACAGAAACAATGTTCTCATGTTGGATTTGTATTGCTTGGTGTCCTTTCAGATAATCTATAGTGCAGAGTTAGCAATTCCGTTTAATGGTAGTTTATATCGCTAGTTATTTGAGGTGACATGTAAGCAGGAGATTGAGGAGAATCAGTTTTATATCACCCTCCTAACTTCACAGATACTTATCTAACTTCTATTTTTTTGTAGAACTTCCCAGAATTCCGAAATCATGGAATCCCTAAGTGAATTTGATCTAATGAACTTGGTCACTAAAGAACTGAAAAAACATAAATATTTTGAAAATCACCCTAGATGAGTAAAATCCTGGTTAACTTGAACCTTTTATTTGGAAGGAGATAGATGTGTATGTGTGCGTGTGTGTGTGTTTCTTCCTTACACTAGATCATCTTTGGGGATATTATTTTGAAGGATTCCAGAGTTCCAGTGTTTTAGAAAAATCTGGTTCACTGTTTTATAGGGATATATATTTTAATACATATTTATCAAAATGATATATTGATACATAATATAACTTAATAATGGCAGATAGTTTTAGCTACTTTTGGTTATCTTTGTTTGACTATCCATTCACTGTATACATATCCATTTTATTTTTTGGCCTATTTAGGGAACATTCTTACATGATTCTGTATTTAGATCCATACTTTAGAAATTTGGTCCCAAAATCCCTAAGAAAAATCTACTCCCCCTGTTGGCTTAAATAAAATTCAAAGATTTTGACCTTCATAATGTGGCTCAAGGGCAATCAGTTTTGTAATCACTTGGCTGAATGGCATCTAAGAGGTTTGTGATTCTTGTTAAATGCATTAATAATTAACATTAAGCTAGCATAGCTTTCTTGCTTTGCTTAGTGAAATAGATTCATTGATGCTATATCTATGCATGTAATAACAAAAGTCTTATATGAATGTCTCTCTAGAATTCTGCTTTAGGGGAAGATGGTACAAAAAAGTCACATTTTAAAGGAATATAAGTGATTTCAAATAAATCTTGAAAATATCATTACTCATAATTTGTTAACAAGCACAAGATATAGCCACAAATTTTCTCGGTATATTGACATTTCCATAGTGTGCTGTAAATCAGTTAAGTGAAGAATCATAAAATTCTAAGGAATTTATATTAAACTAGCTGTATATTATTTAACCAAGGGCACTGAGGTTGCAACTCATCTTTTCTTTCTCTTTCTCTCCCTTTTCTCCTTCCCTTCTTGCCTTCCTCCTTTCTCTCTCTCTTTCTTTCTCTCTCTTTCCTTCCTTTCTTCCTTCCTTCCTCCTCCCTCCCTTCCTCCCTCTCTCCCTCCTTTACTCCTTTCTTCCTTTTTATCAGAAATTAAAACAAAACACATGAACAATATAACTATACATTCTGTGTACAAATATTTTATATCCCAGGGAGACCAAGTGCCCCAGAATTCCACAAACATAAATGAAATATGTTGTAAGCTTCCTTCCCTGCAACACTGTCAGCGCTGGCGGTAGTGCACTGGGCAAAATGTAGAAAACTAGAAGTAACTTGTCAATTTTTAATGAAGTCTTCCTCCTTTGAAGAGTCAAATGCACTATTCTCTCTGCAAACTCTGGTGATGATGACATATTTTCACTTGGTTTCCATAGCATCCAATCCTGAAGACTCCCAGAGTGGTTCTTGGTCAGGGCGATCCACCCAGCTCCCTTAGAAAGTTGGAGACCTGGCCAGCCAAAAGCAGCTTTCCATTTTCCGGAAACTTACTCTGTCCGTGGTGCTGAACAATTCTGCCGAGACGCGCCCTAACGGGCGCTGTCAGCAGCGCTGAAGAAATCTTTCCTGACGCTGCCCAAATCAGAACTGTGTATCTGTTATTTACCCACGTCCTCAAAGAGCAGCAAGCTTTCTCCATCTTAATTCGACACTACCGCAGAGCAGAGTTGCGCCGGCTTGAGGAAAGGTGATCACAGGCAAGGAGGAAAAACTAACAGCAGCATTGCTCACCTGAGACCTCAGATGCTCCCATGAGTTTTGGAGGTGCTCTGCTCCCTACAGCAAAGACACCATTAAAAAAAAAAAAAATACTATTCTTCTGACTTTGCTTTTACACAAAGGTTCTGTGATATTTCTGCTCCTCCGTTTAAAAGCCAGAAGATTTTACAGCAATAAGGTTTTCAAAACCCGGAATTTGCATTGTTTTTCAGTGCACTGACTTCCAGGACAAGGACTCATCTGCACCCGCCCAAATACCATGGCACTGCGTGCGCCCTTTGCCACCGGATCCTCCCCTTCCAATGAGACTTTCTGATTGTGTCTACCAACTCTCCTATTAGGAAACCCGTGGGTTGCATGCAGCTATTCTGTTGTATTCTCTTTCTCACTCCCTCCCCTCTCTCACTCACACTCTTGCTGGAGGCACACCAATACCGTTCTGCTGAGAAGAAAAAGCCCACAACTACCGTAAGCGATTAAGACAATATGCGCAACTCTCGCCTTTCATAGCCACCACTATTTAAATCTGGCAAGAGCCAACACCAGTCTTTGCAAGAATGGAGTCGGTAAAACAAAGGATTTTGACCCCAGGAAAAGAGGGGCTAAAGAATTTTGCTGGAAAATCCCTTGGCCAGATCTACAGGTAAGAGAAAGCAAACCCATGTTTGCCTGGGGCTCAGCATGAAAAAAATCTACAAAGCTATTTCTGTAAACCCTGGTTGCTTTGAGAGATTGTAATATGATCAGGAAGTCTTTTTTTTGTTGTTGTTGTTGCTCACTGCTTAAGCGGGGCTGCTCTGGAAACCTGCTTATTAATTCAGGAATGTTGCACTAAATGAACCTGTCTGCTTTGTGTGCGTGTATGTGTGTGTTTTTTGTTTTGGTACCTGCAGATTTTCATCCTTTCCTACCCAGGATTTATCCTCTGTACAATTGAGAAATGACCAGCACCTGTTCATAAAATCTGTGTTTTGGTGCTTATAATCACAACAAATTAAATTCCTTTGATGCAGACAAATGAATTTTAAAAATACAACCCTCAAAAAATTAACCAAGAAATTCCAAAGAGTAATGGCAGAAGGAAATTTAGATCTCAGTTTCAAAACCACTCAAGTAGAGAATCTCCCAGTGGAATCTTCCTCATGTGCTGAAGGAAGAAGAATCAAAATATATCAATAATTAATAGCTAAAGCAGCTTTTCTCTCAGAACCCAAAACAATGTATATGTATTTTAATTATTTGACTTCTCCCAGAAGTCTATTTCTTGCATGGCAAATGTCACAGTGTTCATAAGAAAAGCCATTATAATAACCCGCAAAATGACTTCGAGTATTAGAAATGATTTAATTTTGTCTTTCTTCCGTAGTCAATGTACTAATTATACTGAATTTTTACACCTTTCAAGAATATTGCATGAATACACTTTTCTTAATAATATGAACAAAATCAAGAAGAGAGGGCAGAAACAGAAGGATAAACGGTTCCAAGACAACGCTAATTTTCACACTTGGGAAATTGAATTCTTTAGAAATGTAAAGAAAATGACCAATGCACTTCCTGATTTTCCAAATCTCTTTGGCTCTGGTGGGCTTCCTGTAGGCACCATCATGCATCTATGCGGCAGTAGATACCGCATGGGCCCTGCAGTCCGCAGCTGTCCTGGAAAGAGCTGTTCTTTCCCAGCTCAATTGCCATCAGGTAGGGAGTTCAGGTGCATAGTCCAACTTTGCATGTATCAGCTAAAGCCAATGTAAAAAAAAAAAAAAATAACATTAGTTACATTATTTTTTTCTCCAAGAATAAATAATTTGCCATATGTTCTGACGGTGGGATTGAACTTTAAAAATAAGCATTAACATAGTTGCAAAAGTCTTCATGACCTATTCTCCAGGTGATATTTTGTAGAATTTGGAAGTCTAAGGTTGTGTTCTGGTAGCCTCAAATTGCTTGATAGCTCCCAACCTGTGCATTCTTGGAATTGATCTTCACATTTCACTCGCTTTACTCTCATGTGTGTGAAAATAATTGTGTGTGAATATATAATTTAAATGGGCACACAGAAAAATAAACCACATGATGGATTAAAACACACCTGTAAATTGCAAACGGAGAAGTTCTTTGTTTAAATATCGAAAGTATCCATCTCAAGGGTCCACAGTGATTCTACTGTTCACATTCATTCTTTTTTCTTCTTTTTAAAATAGACATATCACGTATATTTTGTGGGCTAGAACAACACCCTCAGTTTTTAGTAAAACCATGCCATCGCCCTGCTTTCCCCTTCTCCCTGCCCCCTTCCCTCAAGGACAAAAACCTAAAAGGAACTGAATTAGACCTGTGAAATCTTGTGAAATACAAGGCAAATTAAAAAACACCAAACAAAGCATAAATGAGATCTACATTGGTGTGGAACATCTTACCAGAGTTGATTTGAGGCACGTTTGTGTATCTGGGAGTCGCATTTTACGTCTTTGGAAATCTGCCCGTGACATTTTTCAGTGTTTGTAACCAAGATAGTAATGACGCAAGATTGTGAATAATTAATTATTCATGTTCTGGCAGTGGGAAGCTTAGGTGTCGGCCATATGCTGCGGAGGCCTTTGTTTCAAACTCGAGTTAACAAGGAAAAGAAAGTAAGATATTTGACAGGAGAGTAAACGTTGAACTAGCAGCCCGGGAATGGAGGAATGGGCAGTAGAATGCGCGTGTGACACTCTCAGGCAGCTTTCACGGACCTCCGCGTGGGCACCGGTCTGGAGAGGCCTTAGTCCCTCGGGTCCCCGGGCTCAGCTGGGGGACGGGATCGCGCATCCTTAACCCAGAAAGCTTAAATTGGCTGGGAAGGAAGGGGTAGCCCGGGTGCAGGACTGAGCTGGGCTGGCCTGCAGAGGCGGGCCCCAGGAGCCTGGGTGGCTGGGTAACTACCTGTCGCTGGTGGTAAAGCAGGGTGGACAGGAGGAATCGACATGGGTGCGGACCAGGCGCGGCTCCGGTGTCCCATTCCTTCCTAAGCTACAGACCCAGCGAGAAAGTTAGGCCCAAACGGCCTGTGTCCGTGAATCTAGGTGCTGCAGGATGGATCCCGAGGGAATGGGGGCTGGATGCCGCCGGCCAGACTGTATTAAAGTTGAAGAGATGCTATCGCAGGGAGGGGGACTGGCAGGAGCCTGGAGAGCCGGGGAGGTCCCAAAGCCTGGTGGCGCCCTAGCACCCTAACTCCAGAAGTAGTCGAACGTGTCAGCGCCCCTCCCCCCAGCCCTGACGGGTCCTGGGAATTGGGGTGGGCGGGCGTCGGGGGTGCCTAACCCGCAGCGTCTTTGCCTTCCCCCCGCCCCCCGCTCTGCCGCTCAGGGTACTGGAGAAGAAGCAAGACACCGGGGAGACCATCGAGCTGACGGAGGATGGGAAGCCCCTGGAGGTGCCAGAGAAGAAGGCTCCACTCTGCGACTGCACCTGCTTTGGCCTGCCGCGTCGCTACATCATCGCCATCATGAGCGGCCTGGGCTTCTGCATCTCCTTCGGCATCCGCTGCAACCTGGGCGTGGCCATCGTGGACATGGTCAACAACAGCACCATCCACCGCGGGGGCAAGGTCATCAAGGAGGTGGGCAGCCGCTGGCCGTGTGGGTTCGCAAAGCCACATCACCTGTTTGAGCTCCATTTCCCCCCAGTGAACGAGGAAGCCTGGATGCTCGCTCAGCCCCCTGCTAGCACTACCATTCTAAAACAGGAGTAGACCCGCGGTAGCAGTATTACCTCCCCTTTCGTTCCTGCTCTCAGGGCCTTCCTTTTCTCACCAGCAAAGTGGAAAATAACATCTAGCTCACTTGATTTTTGTGGAGTGACTTCATACGAGAAGTTGCATAATGTCCGTTAAATTTAAATCGAGATTTTATATATATATATATATATATATATATATATATATATATATATGTGTGTGTGTGTGTGTGTGTGTATATATATATATATATATATATATATATATATATATTAACTCGGAAGAGTAGGGCTGCGTATCAGTGATAATGTCCCCCTGGTTCCCTCCAATTCCTGCCAAGCATTCTTAATAATAAAAATGAAACAAAACCGAAATCAAATAAACTGTGGGCCTGTCGGCACTTTCTGGGAAGGGCCTTTAGGAACTGTCCACTTAACTGGTGGAGAAGAGCCACGGCTCGGAGTGCCTCCAGGTCACAGGGAATTCAGTCCCGTAATCTTGAGAATGTGTTGGGGTGACGCCCAGGGAAAGGAGGGTCAACGTCAAAGTCAGCGAAACCCGTGGTATAGACTTCCTGGTCAGGGATCTGAGCGACCGTAAGCAAGGGTTGGGAGGAGAAAATTCGGGAACCGACTATGCAGGAGAAGCGGTGAACGCTGCTGGGCCCGGGGGATTCCGGGAGACCCTGCAAAGTGCGTTCGGTTTCAAAATACTATTCAAAAGGAGAAAACGGATCCTCAATGCCCCTGGCGGGATTAGCACAACTTTGCCTTTCAGATGCAGATATTTATTTTAAGGTTCACCTTGTGGGGCCGCCTAGGATAGCTAGGGCGGAGCTAGGCCTTGACCTTCAGACACAACCCTCCCCAGCTCTTAAGACCCTCCCGAACTAATTCTCCTCTCCACTGGCCAACCCAACCCCCCACCAACTCCCAAGGCTACTCCAAATCTTTCTGGCCTATGCCCATCCCCATTTTGCAGGGATGACCCTTTCCTCTGGCTCCTCCAACCTCCTCACCTTCCGTCCCAAGTGCCCCACTTTCCTTCGTCAGAATTCCCGAGGTTGGATCTCATTCTGAAAGCGACCCCACTACCGCATTAGTCCTGGCTGGTGTTAGCTAAACGGACCCCGCTCAGGGGTCGCTATCCCCAGCCAGCAAATGGAATCTCTCCGTGGGGAGTTCTAATTTCCAAAACTGGAGCTCAGAGGAGTCCTCAGTCATCGAGGGGATCAGACCTGCCTGACTGTAGTCGGGGAGCAAACCCAAGGCGTCCAGCTTCGCCATTAATGGCAATACATTTCAAATGAGCACAGTTTTTCCGTTAAAAAAGAAGCGTCTCTTCTCTAGAAGAAGGTATACATTCAATTTTGTCAGAAAACGAAAATTCAGCCACCTCCACCTCCAGAATGCAGGGAGTGCCCCGGGGGTTGAGGGCTCCTGAACGTGAGTCTGCAGTCCAAACACTGACTCTACTCTTTCCATCCACCCCGTTCTTTCCTCCCTACCCCCACAGAAAGCCAAATTCAACTGGGACCCAGAAACCGTGGGGATGATCCACGGTTCTTTCTTTTGGGGCTACATCATCACCCAGATTCCGGGCGGCTACATCGCGTCTCGGCTGGCCGCCAACAGGTAACGCGCCCCCAGGGCTGGGGGTCTTGTGCCTCCGAAGGGGCATCAGAGGCTGGGGGCAGAGACGACAGCCCTGCGGGATTGGAACTCTCCTGGTTCCTGGGCACCTCCGCTCTCGGGGCTGGAACTGCTGGTGCCTCCTTCCAGAATTCGGCACCCAAGAGGATTTGGGCTCGCCAGGCTGGGCGCTGGTTGCCGCTTCCTCTCTGTTATGGCTGAGCCAACTTTACTCCAAATGGTCGACATGCCTTAAGGCCTGGTAGGAACTGAGACCGGGAGAGGAGTGGCCCGAGCTGGGACTGAGCCGCTGGATGCACAAAGGAGACGGGGACACACTATGTGTGCGTGTGTGTGTGTGTGTGTGTGTGTGTGTGGTTAGGGGGGTAGCGACACGTGCTGCACTCTCGCCAGTGCGCCCCCTCGAGTGCCCCGGTTCCTCTGGTGCTGACCTCCCGGCAGGGCGCATCGAACGCCGGGCCGGGAGCGGGCCAGATGGTGCTGTGGGTCTGAAGGATTTGTCTCTATGGAGGCAGGCGGGACTTCAGGCGCTCGGGGTGAGATTCCACCTGTTAATGAGCGCCAGTGAGTAGGGGCGGGGGTGGGGACTGAGCTCAGCTGAGTCCTGAGGCTTCCAGCTAGCAGCGGGGACTGCAGCCCAGGTCCTAGAGCCACCTCCAGGGATGCCACTGGGGTCACCTGCAGAGACACCCCTAAGTATGGGGCATAAAGACTGATGGGGTGGGTATGTTTAGGAGCACAGCCTCACCACTGCAGGGTTAGAAGCAGCTTTATCTGCTTCATTGTGTATATTAAGATAAATAAAACTAAATACATTCTCAAGGCTGAATTACAAAACTGAGAAGGAACTCTGGCACTCACCTTTTCAAGTGTTGCTTCATAGACACCACCCCCCAAAAGACTTCAGGTCTTTCCTCAGATTTTGTATCTTTGACTTCCCCTCCCCTCCCCCCCCAATCCAAAGTTAGATTTTCTGGGGGAAGATATCTTGAGCTGGGCATGCTCTAGTCTTGATCCCCTCTTTGCTTTTGCTTTCGTAAACTGGTTCCTTCTCATTTCTCAATAAAATCTCCTAGGAGGCCTCTTCCAGTGGCTTTTGTCACCTAAGATCCCATTCACCAGAGGTAACTTCCTGCCCAAGATTTTTCTGTCCCCTGCAAAGCCTCCGGAAGAATTCTGGCAAATTTATTTTAGTCTTCACAATTGCTTGGGCCAGGATTTTTGGTCAGCCCTTCAAAAGAAGAGAGTAAAAGATTAGGAATAGTGCCTTTTGAATATCATCTTTACCTTGACATCATGATGGTTAGTACTCAGACCCAATAGGAGACAAACTATTCTTTAAAAAAAAAGAATCATTTTAAAATGAAAATCATTAACTATCTAGAAAACCGAATTCTATGGATGGGATAAATCAAATTAAAGAAAATATTTCCTTAAATAGTACTGGTAATGAACATATTACATTTTTGGATCCCTAAGTCACAATGTCTCGAATCTTTTTTTTCTCCTCAAATTTTTTTTTCCTAAGTCAAAATAAGCTTCCTAGAAAGATAGTCCAAACACACGTTTGTGAAATATTTTCACTTCAGGGGGAAAACAACCAATAATTCCAAAAAACCAACAATGATACAAGAAACTAAAAATAATGTGAAATGTAACAATAATGGCTGTGCCTTTAAGGTTTTTTCAGAATCAAAACCTTCAGCTTGCCAATTGTTAAAATGCTAACATTTTTCTGCCAGGAAAAAACACCAGGGATGCCCAGCTTTCCCTCTTTGTAACACTGGGAGGTCAATAAACAGGTTTTCCTGGTTAAAAAAAAAAAAAAAAAAAAAAAAAAGCAATCTCATTTCTATACTATCATTTTGTTATGTTTAGTGAAGACTCATGCTAACTCAGGTTCTAATTTATTTGGTAGATTTTTTTTAAAGGAAAAGATTGTGAACTTTAGAAGTCACATTTGGATCTCAAGTCACCTTACCTTTGTATGGCTATTCAAGGAAGAGAAACTTAATATCTTCATAATGTTTTCAATGTCTTGTGCTCTCCAAAACTGAGAAAGCTAAAATTTATTGTAAAATATGACCAACATAATAGAAGATAAAGACTAACTTCCTTATCAGATCTTTGGGTTTTGACATCTTTGTCTCACTTAAAAGATATAACATAATGTTACAAATAGTTGAAGCCTCCTGTGAAAACAGGTTTAAACAATGTACAACATTCCCTTTTCTGATGATGAAGTATTGTATCCTAAGAAAAATATACAAAAAAGAAAATATAATAAAAACCATAAATTAATCACACAGAGACCTTATTGTTAACATGTTGATAAATGTTCAAATAGTCCTATATATAAGCTACATAGAATTTCATCTTAGAACTTTTTTATTAACACAAAATCTGAGAGATTTAGAATTGGTTGGAAAGATGTACATTTCCTAGTATGACCCTTTTTCAGAAATAGAAAAAACAATACAGCAAGTCAAGTTTTCCACCTACAAATATTGTATGCCTATTCAAATAAACTTCTCCCTATAGATCATCTAATAGTAGAACAAGATTTCCCTTGAGTGGGATACTGGGGACAGATTCCTTTCCCTCTAGGTGTAAAAGCTCACTTTGGAAAAAGGGTTTGCCATCACAGTTACGGGTGTAACTGGAGTAGAGGAACTGAGGTGTGTGAACACTGCTCCCCTAGAGAGAAGGGCTCCTGGATACACCTCCTGGCAAATTTCTCAATGAAAAACCAACAGCAATGATGTGGCTTCTCCATTTTATGCTTTAAGCAAAGGCAGCTGCACCCTTGGTCAGAATACAGAATCTTGGCCCTTTTTCTGGTCAGATTCTAAGTATCCTTGCTTTCTTCCTCATTGAGAAAAAAAGCTAGAGAAGAGAAATCTCAGTCGCGGGGGAGGACTCTTGCATCATTTTTTCCTTTGTCTTTTCTTAAAGGGCTATAGCACCTCCTTGACAGGAAAATTTAGTCATCTCCCTGGAGGGCTTTGGGGTGAGGAATCCAAGGAAGATTCCTTACAAAATCTGCAGTTCTTCTAGATGAGGACATATTTACTATAGTGATAACAGTGTGTTGGGGGAACTTAATGTTGCCTCTAAACAGTACAAGACACGGGGCTTACATTAATCCAGATCATTACAAATGTGGACTTGGTAAGGATTATTTTTATCTTGCATTTTGACTAAGAACCTGGGCAAGTACTTAACAGGAAAAACAACAGAGTTTTTGCAAAGGACATAATCAAGGATGGTCAGATTTATCAAATTGTTGGTCAATGTTATGTTTTCAATGGACAATATGATCTTCACCCTGGACAATATTATCTTCCTTCTTTCTAGGGGGCAATAATGTATGAACCTTATTTAAAAATTTTTCCAATCCTCCTCCTATCTTCTTGATCTGCCAATGGTGATTTAGTTTTTTTACATGGCACCTATGGTCAGCTGTCCTACCAGTATTTTACTTATTTATCTTTTTGTTTTGTCCAATAAAGTGTAAGCTCCATGGAAGCAAGCAGTTGTATCCACGTTGTTCTCACTGCTCTATCCCTAGCATCCCTATGGCCCAAGACACATATTTGTTGAATAAATAAAATGAAAGTGTCTGGGCTTTAAAAAAAAAAAAAAAAAGCAGTATGGCAGAGTGGTTAAGATACAGGTTCTAAAGACAAATCATGTAGGTTCAGACTCCTAAAGGTACTAATTAGTAAATGAATAACATAAAATATTACTTAACTCTTCTGAACTTCAGTTTATATTTCTGTAAAAGGGGACTAATCAAAGTACCTACTTGATATGAGTATCATGACAGCTAAATAAAGAATACATGTAAGGTTCTTAGAAGTGCCTGGCCCTCATTAGATGTTGGCTGTTATCATTTATTATTATTATTTTTTAAAAGATTTTATTGATTTATTTGACAGACAGAGATCACAAGTAGGCAGAGAGGCAGGCTCCCTGCTGAGCAGAGAGCCCAGGACGCTGGGATCATGACCTGAGCGGAAGGCGGAGGCTTTAACCCACTGAGCCACCCAGGCGCCCCTATTATCATTTATTATTAATAAAGCTCTAACTTCAGAAAAAATGAAAAAATAAGTAATATCTTAAGGCCATTCTGTATTATTTATGTTTAAATTTGTCTTAAGTATTAGTAATGCAAAAGGATTATTTCTATTGTGATGAAAATGCATCTTTCCACCCGTCAGATTTCTAGCTTTATTAAAATTATTTTCCCATACACATTATTTCAGCTAAAATATTGTCCACTGAAAATGCCTTAAGTCTCATTTGAAGGACTGTCTTAGGAAAGCTTTTTAGCCAAGGGATAGAGAGTGCTAGTTTTTCAATGCATTCAGTCTTGAATTCTAGTCTGGTATCGTAAAAACACTTAGAGAAATCCATTTAAGTCTGAGGTTAGACCGCTCTGTAAAAAGTTACAGTTTATTTTCTCCGACTCCTCTTTTTTATTTAAAAAGGGTTTAATTCCTGGTGCAACGTTTTGTCTTTCCAGGTATTTCTTGGGTTTCTATCTTGGCTTTTGCTAAAGAAAAAAATAGTTCTTTATTTGAATAAGATATTGAGGATCCTGTTTGTAACACACAGCGAACTTCAGCTAACAGAAAGAACTAATGTTAGAGGGAGATAAGGCTCATCTAATCCAATCTTCTCACTTAGAGACCAGGAAAGGAAATAGAGAATCAGGGAGGTGGCGCCTTGCCCCAGATCACAAAGAGATTGGGACTAAAACTCAGGTGGCCAGCAAGCATGACCTCAGGCTATCTCTACGCTGAAATTTAGCATCTCCGCTTGATACCATGTACTTCACCATAAAGCCATCTGCTCTCTCAATGAGTGCCTACAATCTATCATGCCCCAAATCCAGGAGAGAAATCCAAGAATTAGAAAGAGAAGCCTTAGGCTGGCCCAAGGGAGTCTTCGGTTTTGGTGGCAGGAGAAACATACTG